GAGAGAGAGAGAGAGAGAGAGAGAGAGAGAGAGAGAGAGAGAGAGAGAGAGAGAGAGAGAGAGAGAGAGAGAGAGAGAGAGAGAGAGAGAGAGAGAGAGAGAGAGAGAGAGAGAGAGAGAGAGAGAGAGAGAGAGAGAGAGAGAGAGAGCCTCGACAGTTTTCGCTAAACACACACACAGGAAGCTCTTTTGAGCAGAACCGAATGTCAGAATGTCATCATCTTTATTATCTTCAATAACTGCTGAATCGACTGCGACGTTTTACTTGGAATGGCTATGATCTGCTTCAATTAATTGAAACTTTGCTGCATTAACCTCTTGCCTCTCTTCCTTCCCTTTGCAGTTGACTTCATTTTTTTTTTCTCCTCACAGCCACAAAACGCGCCACAATGAAGCGGGCCATGGGCGGGGCGCGCGCGCGCTCCTGGTGGTGCGTTGTCGTCGTTGTGGCGCGACGGGCAAGTGCTGCCGAGGTGCAAGCGACGACATGGATGAACGGGTGGCCAAACGACATTGCCGCGTGACCGTCGTGGATGGACCATTCTTGCTGATCTCGTGTTGGGCTGCCATTTGTTGTCAAGACAATTCCTCGATCTGACCCATGAGGAGCCGCGACCGCTCGTACGCTGATGGACGCGCTAGCTAGGCCCAAGAGCCACGGAGCCTGGTCAGATCCAGCACGAAGCACTCCCACTCAAATGCAGGTGAGAAACCGATCTTAGGCCCGCTTTTGAAAATGCTATCCATGATGCCCGCTGCCAGAAACGAAAGCAAGAGTGATTTTTGCGATTTTTGACGCGCGAAACGCCGGCGTTTCTGACGGTAGTGCTATGTCACAGGGCGGCCGACGGTGGATGAGAACTCCACAGTGAGCACTGGAAGCGTGTGAAGAATGCGAGGTGAGCTTTGTTTTGACGTGCGCCGAAAATTGTGACCACAGGCCCGGCTGCCATTTGGTGTTGGTTGAGGAGCAGAGATGCGCCTTTGTTCTTGTTTGGCCGTATCGAGGGGGATACTCATGGTTATGCTGGCGGGTCACAGGGCGGCCAACGGTGGACGAGGACTCCATAGGGAGCAGCGGAAGCTCGTGAAGAATGCGAGGTGAGCTTTGTTTTGACGTGCGCCGAAAATTGTAATCAGGGGCCCGGCTGCCATTTGATGTTGGCCAAGGAGCAAAGGCGCGCCCTTTGTTTTTTTTGGCCGCTTTGAGGGGGGTACTCATACCGGGGCTGGCGGGTCACAGGTTTGCCGCAGATAAATGAGGACTCCGCAGTGAGCAGCGGAAGCGTGTGAAGAATGCGAGGTGAGCTTTGTTTTGACGTGCGCCGAAAATGGTGACCAGGGGCTTGGCTGCCATTTGGTGTTGGCCGAGGAGCCAAAGCACGCCGTTTGCTTTGTTTGTGCCTTTTGGAAGGGGGTACTAATGGTGAGGCTTGCGTGTCACAGGATGATCGCAGCCGGACGAGGACTCCATAGCTGCGCCGCCCGCATCTCAGGCGTCGGCACGTCACAGCACGCGGCCAGACCCGCCAAGGGTCCCTCGACCTTGAACAGGCTGCCCACAAAACCGGCGTCGAGCTGCAGGGGCCGGCTCCAGTGGATCGCCGTCCGCGGCCCACACAGCAGCCGGAAGGCGTTTAGATATGCCGCGGCAAACGGAAAGTCGACGCCGAGGCTCGCGGCGGGCCGGATCGAGTCCCACACGTCCCCCTGCCCGTCAATCAGGTGCGCGCCGTGGGTGCGGAGCCAGGCCGCGGCCAGGTGCATAGCCGTCAGCATGACCATGGCCTTGTCGCGCACGCAGGCCAGCAGCAACCCGGCGTGCTCGGTGGCGGCACAGGGCTCGGCCTGTGGGGTGGAGAGGGAGGAATCGTGGTGCTTCAACTCCATGACCGCATAGGTTTGAAAGGCTGCAGCGAGTAAGAACATAAAAAAATGAGAGAGGGGCGCAACGGGGGCGCACGGGTGCCAGTGGACCTGGGTGTGGGGTCGTTGGGATCCAGTTGCTTGCGCCGCTTCTTCTTGGGTTGGGAAAAATGCCAAATTAATTTCGAGACAGTATTTGTTGAGCAGGAGTTGGCATATGGGGTCCCGCGAGCTGTGGACAATGGACTGTTGCAAGAACACTCTCAGTGTGCCCGGAATCCAGTTGACAGTCTGATCTTATTTCACGCGGTCTTAACCGGCAAACGCTCCACAAATGGTGATGCTGCACTGCCAAGAGGAGTGTTTTGGCTTGTCAAGAAAATCATGAAAAGCAACTCGGGATTGCTTGACTATTCCCGCGCAACCCCAGAGTTTGTTGCAGCTGAAGCCTTAGCGTTCGACGGAAGGGCGTATATCTGGCCGCTGTGGTGAACACAAAAATCGCACCAGAATTGTACGTTTCGAGGAAAATCAACGGAGATGTCAATTTTGCTTGAGAGTGACCAGGCGAGAGAGATATATATAGAGTCAAGAAGACGGTGAGTCTGGGATGGCTTGCAAAGGCGCCGTAGCCTGAGAATAAACGGTAGAGATGCCGGCAAAAAGGTCTTTCACACGGGCAGAAGGGAAGCCAGATTTAAAAAACCTGTGCACGTTGCCAAGAAAATCAATGGCATGTCGCGCTTGAACTAATCCTTCCAGCTTTGTGACTTTCTTCTTCCAAGCATCTTCATGGTTGAGATCGACGACGATTTCGGCCATTGCATCTTCAATGAAGTCCAAAATGGTGGCTTGCGCGCGCAAAAGCTAACAACCGTGGTGGGAAATATTAGCAATTCTCAACTCACTCGGGCGCATGGGACGACGGGAGACTTACTTCGGGGCTCATTGTGTCTGGCTTGCACTCTTCTTCACCGTCATCTTGCTGACCTCGTGCACTCTCTCGCTGACTGCCATTGCCATCATCATCCCTCAGAACACTCTTCGCCATTATCATCATCATCATCCTCCTCATCTTGCGGTCAAAGAAAACATGGTGTCTTGGCGTCAGCTCCATGAAAGCTGATACAACCTCGGTCCACGACTTGGCCACACGGAAATTGTGGAGGAAGATGTAGTGTTCATCCTTGACGTCGATTTTAGCTTCGCGCATCTTCTGGCGGAAAAGGTGCATGGCGCGGCGAACGTAGGCATTGTACTCGGCGGTCAAAAAAGTCTGGCTGTCTTCCACAGCCTTGAGTGCTGTCGCCATGTCGTAAGCCGAGGTACACGTCACGTCGGAGAATGCGGCACCCACCGTCGACGCCATTTGGACGCATGAAAAAAAAAAAATTAGGGAACTCGGGAACCAACGACTTCATTGCTCGAGGTTAAGCTTATGACATTACATGTACTAGTCAATTCTTTGGTTTGCCGATGTTCTTTGGTTTTCAGAACGCGCGAGAGCATTTTTCTTTTGTTTTCTGTCTTTGTTCTTGCGTTCCTTTATGTTCCCAATTTGTTGTTGAATTGGTTCTTTTGTTTGGTCGAATGGTTCTTTTGTGTTTGTGAACCTCAATTCTGATGGCAATTCAAATTCTACGCAGTTTAGCCGGTCGAGCTGCACAGACCAGTACATACCGTCCAAAGACCGCGGATGCAAAGAATGCATTCATAATGTGGCTTTGTCCACGGACGCGGCCGTGACGCCTCTTCTGGCCAGTCTATTTGGTGCAAAGCCGATTAGATGCAAGGCGTTGGGACGTGGCATGCCCGGCGTTCTATAGATACATCAGACATGCGTGGCATAAAGCAATCTTCATCGTTGCCTCATTTATAAATATCTGTGATGCCTGATTCGCCATGTCGCACCTGGCCATTGTCTCGCTCAGTCTCAGGTGATGGCTCGCTTGGTCTTGGTCTGTGGCTTCCGCTATCACTTGAAAAAGCATGGAGGCATTGAGTTAGCATCAAATCCGTGCTTCCACGCATTTGACGCGCTCGCGAGGCCCAAGAGCCACGGAGCCTGGTCATTTTCGGCACGAAACACACCCGATCAATTGCAGGTGAGGAACCTATCTGCGGTCCGCTGCTATCCATGATGCCCGCTGCCAAAGTCGAGTGAATTTTGCGAGTTCTAGCGCGCAAAGTGCCAGGTGGTTATGACTGTCGTCCTGTGTCACAGGATGGTCCCAAGTGGACGAGGACTTGGTGATTAGCCCCGGAAGCGCGTGAAGAAGATATGGTGTGCTTTGTTTTGACGTGGGTCGAATATTGTGACCAGGGGCCCGGCTGTCACTCGGTCTTCGCGAATGGCCCGTCGCTCGCATTTGTTCTATTTTTGGGTTCTAACGCTATTCAACTTGTTATACTTTGTATGTCTATTACCTTCATTCGTCATGCCAGCCAAAACTACATGCCGATTCCCATTTGCATTGGTGTTGCGGCGCGCCGTTTGCTTTGTTTGAGCCGCTTCGAGGGGGGTACTCATGGTGGGGCTTGCGTGTCACAGGATGGTTCCAGGTGGACGAGAACTCCATCGTGAGCACCGAAAGCGCGTCAAGCAGATGACGTATGCTTTGTTTTGACGTGCGCCGAAAATTGTGACCAGGGGCCCGGCTGTCACTCGGTCTTCGCGAATGGCCCGTCGCTCGCATTTGTTCAATTTTTGGGTTCTTTTTGTCGTGGCGGCCATTAACTTTACATGACAAGTCAACGTTCGAGCTTTTGGTGCGCTGTACTGTCGGTACTCAATCGAAACTTTCAGAATGTTTATTGTCATGTGGGTTCGGCGCAACCGCTAACAGCGTGGGTTCGGCGCAACCGCTAACAGCGACACGATCGGAGGCTAACCGCTAATGCGTTAGTAGAAGGATCGTTGAAAGACATCAATTTATAATATCGAAGCGAGGAAGCAAAAGTTTGAAACGCGTTCAAGGATACAAGTTGAGAGAAAGGGAAGCAGGTGGCGTGAGGTTAGGTACATGATCATTGAGCGTGAAGTAGGAATCGAGCAACAAAGCGGCGGAGGGGAAGATGAAAATGCGGCAATCAGGTTGAAAATCAGGAAGTATGCAAAGCAGATGAATTTGAGAGAGCAGGATGGGGAGGCAGCGTTTGGCAAAATGTGTGATTGAAAGATCAGCAAGAGTAGAGGGAAAGATGATCGGTTTGGAAAGTCAACTTTCAGGAGAAGAGAGATTTGGAGAGGGGAAGCGCAACAGGTGGCGGGTGGGACGAGCGGGAAGGTAAAAGATCAATAAAATAAAAATAAAAAATACAGGTGCGAGATGGGGCGAGAGAAGAGAAGGATGGGAAAGGTAAACGGAAGATATTGAACGAAGGAGAAGGATTGAAAGAGATGGGAGCGAGCGAGTGGCGAACAGCATGAGCAGTGGGACAAGCAGACGGCGAAGCGAGGAAAAAAACAAAAAGCATGGGAGAAGATGGAAGGGGCATTGATGGGATGGCAGGGGAAGAGACGAAAAGGGGGGCACGGAGGAAGGGAGGAAGTGAAGGTGAGGGGAAGGGGTCAGGAGTCGATGAAAGGGAGAATTAACATCTAGTGTAAGGAATTCCGGGAATGATCCACCTAATACTATGCAGAAAGGTAGCTCTGTCCAATACCCGACTATGGTATATGTTTACGAGGAAGTTGTGAAGGGGAAGTTCTGACAATGTAACGGTCACCATGTGGTAAAAGTCCGTTGTCTAATTGTGTGTGAAGTTGTCTGTTCCTGTCGAGTTTATGTTAAAACCAACGCGCTTTTCGAGCAAAAAAAAATCCCACTCGTAAGCCATTGTTTGTGTCGTGCATCATATTAAGTATTATACTTCCACCTTCTCCACATGACTTTGAAAAGTGTTGACTTCATCACACTGTGCACTTCTCTTCCGTTTTTTTTTTTTTCGCAGTCGTCTCAAGCGCCCGCCCCTTCATGCTCATGGCTGCCTCCTCGGCGTAAAACAAATCGCATGACGCATCATACCTGGTTCATGTCCTATTGACTCTGCTCTGAGACACGCACGTTCTCACCATGCCCAGAGTCAAGGAAATGCCGTGCAAACAGTGCGGCCAGATATTTCCCAATCGAGGGGCAAAGGAACAGCATGTCTCTCGGGTGCGTTCAACCACTCGGCGATCTTTGGAGCAACCGAGGCATCAAATCTCACGATGCGTTGGCAATAGGTCCATCAAAAAAGCACGTCCGTCAGGCTCAATGGGCAAACCATCATGAGGCACCGAGAAGAAGATGGGAACTTTCATTGCCCGGTGGAGGGATGCGGCTACCGCCATGATCGCTCAGCCACCCTCAAATCCCATCTCCAGCGTGTGCATGAAGAGGAGACACCTCCTGTGCCTGCAACACGTGTTCCAACCAATGAATGCCCTAGTGTAAGGAATTCCGGGAATGATCCACCTTCCTTGTGATGACATTAAGACGCAGTTGTTAGCGTCAAGAATTTCTGTTGGCTAGTGTGAGAGAGAGCGTGTTATTTGACTGGCGTTGTCACACAAATTTGGGGCAGATTCGATGTTGGCGAATCC